TTTTGCGGACGTCATTGTTGGTTTGGTATTACACTGATTCCAAGTTATATTTCCGCATTTATCGCTTTTCTAGATATCATGAGAAGTAGGAAATAAAGAGCGTGCATTCGAAGTCGCTATTTAAAGACCTGTAGCAGGCATTCTGCACTTCATTTCTTATATGTGTTATGCTTGTGTTTGTTTTCTTTCTTGTTGATCGATGAGTCACTCAATTTAGAAATTGAGATCACGACTTCGCTCTCAGTGCATGCTCCCTATAGGATTTTATCGCTTTCCTTTATTTCTTATTGATCGACGAGTCACTCAATTTAGAAATTGAGATCACGACTTCGCTCTCAGTGCATGCTTCCTATAGGATTTTATCGCTTTCCTTTATTTCTTGTTGATCGATGAGTCACTCAATTTAGAAATTAAGATCACGACTTCGCTCTCAGTGTATGGTCCCTATAGGATAGTTTGTTAGACTTTCTTTGGCATGCTAATTTAGACAGGACCCCTCATCGTATGTTAACATTAGGTTAGAGATAAGTTAGTCTCTCTTAGATGTTTTCTTCCTGTTTTTGCATAATTGCATTTAAAACTAAAACTTCTTTTTTCTTGGCAAATGTATAAAAAATGCTAATCATACAAAAATTCTTTTCATGGTAAAAAATACCAACCAATCCATTTCTTTTTGCCGTTCGGCTTTTCTCTTCTAAGAGCATGTTAGCTCCTTTCCACTACAGGTCGTAAGTCTCCAAAGGTCGAGCAGTGGTGGAATGATCAAATGCAACATTGTTCATTTAAAAAATACAAACAAACAAAACATATGAGCCGAACTACGGTAGCTCTGATTCCTCAAAAAGGACACGTAGGCATTGGGATAGGCCCCAAGCGAGTACAATTTTATTTTCCCTACATTCTTTCTCTTTTCTTTGCATGCATTCTCTCTTAGTTTATAACCTTTAAGCATTAGATTGAACACACCCTTTGATTAGAATAATGAGAGTGGATCCCGTAGAGTACTATAGACGTGTGGGGTGCTAATACCTTCCCCTCGCGTAATCGAATCCCTTACCCAATCTCTCAGTTGCAAGACCTTGATTTCCCCCTTTAGGTTTTTCTTCGATGATTTTCCTTTCCCTTTCATATGGGATAAATAAATACTCTGTGGCGACTTCATTGATTTTACCGCTACACCCGCTTATAGTTATTTGCTAGGAAGGCCATGGATACATGAGGCAGGGGCTCTCACTTCAACTTTACACCAGAAACTGAAATTTGTACGTGAAGGGAAATTGGTAATCATAAATGGGGAACAGGCATTATTGATATCTCATTTGTCCTCTTTCAGCATTATGGAGGCGAATGAAGCTGCTGTTGGAACCCAGTTCCAAGCCTTATCCATTGACAACATAAGAGGAAATGAGAATTATATGGTTTCGCTTAAGGATGCGCAGCAAGTTGTGCGAAAGGGTCATAGCGAGGTATGGGGACAGATTGTGGATCAACCTGTGAACAAGAACAGAGCCGGCTTGAGGTTCTCTTTGAAGAATGACAAAGGTAAGAGCATGAAGTTTAAGTCTGCAGCGAGCAAGTATCAAGACATCTTTCGTAGCAGGGGTTATCTTCATCCAACTGTTTCCAGGATTAATGTCATTGTGGAAGATGAAGTAGAGCAGGAAATGCCGAATTATGTGACGCACAGAGTTAGGGTCAGAATTGGATCACCATTGATGTTCTCTCTTGCATACATGTTTCAAAGTAATTTGTTTTGTTAATCTTTTTGAAAAGCTTCCACTCTGCCCAAGGTGGAAGTATTAATGTTGTAGGACTTATCTGTTTGCTATAACTTTTAAAATCAATAATAAAAGTTGTCTTTGTTTCCCAAATTGTGTCTTTATTTTCTGCTTTTTTTTCTTGGAAAATGGTAATCAGAAAAAACCTTTCAAAATAAATAATAACTGAAATTCAATCTGCATGATCACTTATTATATGTGTCAGTTTCTAAAAGCAATCATAAATCATATGTGCATATTAATTAAAAAACTCGTTGAATACAATGACCCTGCATCCTCTCCCAACTTTGAATGTCCTGTGTATGGGGCCGAAGAAGAAGATTATGATGAGATTCCAGAAGAGGTCCCACAGTTGCTTGAGCACGAGGAAAATAACATTCCTTTAATACTTTTGATTTTCTAACACCAGAAGTGATGGATCTTTTACAGAGAGTGTAAAGGTTCATGCATAACTATATTGTGTCACCTAAGACAATGAATGTTATTTTTAAAAAGATTAATTTTACCATCTAAAAAAGAATAGCGATATGATTTATTGTCCGTTTGTCTGTTATTTATGTATAAACTTTCAATAATTAAACAAAGAGTTATTAAAATAAAATTTTAATTCATTTTTATGTATTAAAAAATTAATTTTTAAATCATATAACGAAAGTATATATTATTGAAGATTAAAATATAGTTGAAATTATAGTTTTTCGAAAAAGATATATTTTTAAATGTTTTTTAAAAAAATATTTGAAATAGTATTTTATAATAATGATATAAATTAATATTTTATTTAAAATATTTTTTAAACAAAAATGTATAACATAATATAAAAAAATTCTAATAAAAAAGGTGCATCAAACAAAACTTAACTAAAAAGGAGGAATTTATTCAGGAATAAATGGAATTCTTTGTACTTCATAAGCAACTAATTAGAAAAAATTGAATAAAAATTTCAACCTTTAAAATTCTTATATAAAGTCTTCTTAAATAATTAAAAAAAAAAAGAAGAAGAAATTCATAATATATTTTCCTGAAATGTAGGGTAAAGAAAAGAAAGAGATGGCAACACAAAAAAAGAAGAAAGGGTCGATGCTGAGTTGTATAAGCAGGCCGCGCGTGAACACACCGCACCATAAAAACGGGTGGAAACCCAAATGTTACCAGGTATGTGACTTCCAATTGCAATTTTATTTTATTAAATAAATAAGTAGTAATATAAAAATAATATTTCAACCGTGTATTGATTTTTTTTCTTTTTTCAAATGAAATATTTTGAAATATACATTTAAAAATGAGTTAAAAGGTAAGATAAAACGAAACATTGATGTTCTTTCGCACCCTCCTCCTCCTCTTGGTTGGATCAAAGGAAATACATATGAGGTGGCTAAGGGAACTCCCTCTCTTTGTGCTCGCAGTGCTATGTTCAGGAGTGCTAATGGTGATCAAGTAGGCTTCTTTTCCTTCTTCATTGGGGGAAGGTAATGCTTTACAAGTTGAACTCATGGGAGTGATTATGGCATTCGAAGTGGCAATTGACAAGAATTTGGACAACATTTGGATTGAGTTAGATTCAATAACTGTGGTTAGAGCGCTACACAATACAAACCTTGTCCATTGGTTTATCAAAAGCCGTTGGTTGAACTGCCTGCATAATTTGAGGAATCTTGGTCTTTTGATAACTCATATTTTTTGGGAAGGTAACACTTGTGCTGATAATCTTTCTAGCTTAGGTTTAAAGAATATATATATGCTATTTGTTATAATCATGTAGTTAGAGAAGCTTGAGAAGATTTATTGAACAACAAGCTTGGATTTCTCAAGCTTAAGTTGATGTCTATTTGAGAGGTTTTGGTTTTGGTCTCCTTTCTTTCTTTGTTTTCTTTTTCCTTCTTTAATGATATTTTAAGTTAAAAAAATAATTTAATAATTTATCATGACAAAAAAATAAGTTAATTGAGTAATAAGATTTTTCTTTTAAAAAGAAAAGACAAGTTAATATGCATATTGAAAATTTTGACAAAAGTTATTATTATCAACATTAAAGGTTTATTTGTTTCATCACTGGTGAGACAGAGCACCAGAGATTTTACTGTGGGACATGCAGTTCTCAAAGCTGATTCAAATAAAATGGCTAAACATGAGAAAATATATTCAGACAATCAACATACTTTTATACCATTTGCCTTTAATACTTTTGATTTTCTAACACCAGAAGTGATGGATCTTTTACAGAGAGTTTAAAGGTTCATGCATAACTATATTGTGTCACCTAAGACTATGAATGTTATTTTTAAAAAGATTAATTTTACCATCTAAAAAATAATAGCGATATGATTTATTGTCCGTTTGTCTGTTATTTATGTATAAACTTTCAATAGTTAAACAAAGAGTTATTAAAATAAAATTTTAATTCATTTTTTATGTATTAAAAAATTAATTTTTAAATCATATAACGAAAATATATATTATTGAAGATTAAAATATAGTTGAAATTATAGTTTTTCGAAAAAGATATATTTTTAAATTTTTTTATAAAAATATTTGAAATAGTATTTTATAATAATGATATAAATTAATATTTTATTTAAAATATTTTTTAAACAAAAATGTATAACATAATAAAAAAATTCTAATAAAAAAGGTGCATCAAACAAAACTTAACTAAAAAGGAGGAATTTATTCAGGAACAAATGGAATTCTTTGTACTTCATAAGCAACTAATTAGAAAAAGTTGAATAAAAATTTCAACCTTTAAAATTCTTATATAAAGTCTTCTTAAATAAATAAATAAAAAAAAAAGAGGAAATTCACAATATATTTTTCTGAAATGTAGGGTAGAGAAAAGAAAGAGATGGCAACACAGAAAAAAAGAAGAAATGGTCGATGTTGAGTTGTATAAGCAGGCGGCGCGTGAACACACCGCACCACAGGAACGGGTGGAAACCCAAATGCTACCAGGTATGTGACTTTCAATTGCAATTTTATTTTATTAAATAAATAAGTAATAATATAAAAACAATAATAAAATTAGGGTTACTCGGCTTTATATAAATGGAACAGGTTCATAGAGGTTAAGTTTTCGGTGAGTTTTCAATTCATAAAGTGGAATAGTTCTCTTGAAAAGGAAAAGGTACATCTCCTTAAAAAATATTTATTATTTCTTTTCAAATTTTTTATATATTATTTCAAAAATCAGGTTATATTATTGCTTGGAGTTTTTTAAGAATTTAGATGATGGCTTCAATTCAAACAACTTCTCCTTCAAAGGAATCACAAAACAATGAAAATCTGCCACAAATAAAACCAACAAGTTCTTGTCAGTATGTTACTTCTTCGTCATGTTCTGAAACTCAACAAAGTGTTGAGAGCATGGAGCAAAGGGTCAAGAACAATGACGAGGAAGTTCCTGAAGAAAATATTAATTCAAATGGCTTTACTACACCAAAGGCTAAGAGATTTAGAATACCAAAGATAATGTTAGATAATTGCCCTCCAGCTCCAAAGAGAGGTATGGTAAAAAGGGATTGATATTGTTATGTGTATGGTTTTATTCAAAGTTTTTGTATCATCTAGAATAAATTCATTCGGTTTTATTTAAAGTTTTTCTTCACGTAAAATACATTTATTCTTATCTGCACCAAAAATTGTTTTTGTAGTTTAATTTTAAGAGTTTATTAGTTCATTCATTAAATTTGTTTTAGAGGTGACAATGACTTTAAAGAAGTAGTTCTTTTCTATTTTTACATTATGCAATTAGTAATCTATTGTTATACATGTTTATTTTAATTCATAAATCTTGGTTAACTTTTTTTGTTTGTTAGTTATTAGTATGAATGTGATGCAATAGAATCTTAATTTACCAATCCTATAATAATGTAACCTGTAAACTACCTCCTTAAACTTCTCCTCTCACCCAACCTAAACTACCTCCTTAAACTTCTCCTCTCACCCAACCTAAACTACCTCCTTAAACTTCTCCTCTCACCCAACCTAAACTATAGAGAATTTAGGGATATACAGGGACTTTTTTTGTAGATTTAAAACAATATTTTAGCTTTTCTATTTTATAAACAAATATCGGTAAAACAAATTTCTAAACTAATAAATGAGATATCTCATAGTGTAATATGAATCCAAACGGAACGGAACTGTGTGATAGTGTTTATTATAAGAACGAATCAATACTTAAAATTTAGTGTATATTATTATCCTATATTTACGAATCAATGTTTAAAAGTTGGTATATATTATTAGCTTATATTCATAACTATGTGAATATCAATTGAATAAATTTATATTTTATAAATAATAATCAAATATACATATAATATAAATTCAGACAAGACCGTACGATAGCATAGGTTTCTTCTTAGTTCTACATATAAAACACATGTTTTTCAAAGTAAAGATGCAGTTTTTCGCCAATAATGTTTCAAATCTTGTTTCAAATATACAGTTTTTCAGAAAATACGTGTACACCTAAATTTTCTATAGTTTATCTAATCAGATTTTTCCCAGTTAGAATTCGTCAATTGTTGAAGTTTGGCTTAGATAGGACTATTGAAGAACAAATTTTATCATGTTCTATAGTTATTAAATTCATATTATTTTTTTGATGGATTAATAAATTTATATTTAATTGCACTATACGTAGACTAACAAATAAAAGGAAAAACGAAAAAGGTTTATGAATTAAAAAAAAAAAACCTTATAGTTAGATTAATAATTGCATTTTAAAAATAGTCCTATCTATAGTAAAAATACTATTTTTTTAAGACATCGTTAATCTAACCCATAATCTTTATAGGCGCAGATGAGAAAAAAAATTTAACCACTAAAAAGTTATTTCAACGATCATAGTTTTCAACTTGAAAGATTTTTCATCTATATATATATATATATATATATATATATATATATATATATATATATATATATATATATATATATATATATATATATATATATATATATATATATATATATATATATATATATATATATATATATATATATATATATATATATATATATATATATATATATATATATATATATATATATATATATATATATATATATATATATATATTAAGGTTATAGTATAGTAAAAAGAGTTTTAGAATATTCTAATAAATGAAACCCTAATTAAGTCACTTAGCATGTAATACACATGTTATAATGACTTTTTTAATTCAGTAGAAGAATATACAACTTTTACAAAAAAAAAACTAGTATGATTTTTATTTATTCAGTAGGAGAATACAACAACATATAATATCCTTATCCAACCAAAAAGAAAAACAGAAAAGCTAAAATATTGTTTTAAATCTACAAAAAAAGTCCTTGTATATCCCTAAATTCTCTATAGTTTAGGTTGGGTGAGAGGAGAAGTTTAAGGAGGTAGTTTAGGTTGGGTGAGAGGAGAAGTTTAAGGAGGTAGTTTACAGGTTACATTATTATAGGATTGGTAAATTAAGATTCTATTGCATCACATTCATACTAATAACTAACAAACAAAAAAAGTTAACCAAGATTTATGAATTAAAATAAACATGTATAACAATAGATTACTAATTGCATAATGTAAAAATAGAAAAGAACTACTTCTTTAAAGTCATTGTCACCTCTAAAACAAATTTAATGAATGAACTAATAAACTCTTAAAATTAAACTACAAAAACAATTTTTGGTGCAGATAAGAATAAATGTATTCTACGTGAAGAAAAACTTTAAATAAAACCGAATGAATTTATTCTAGATGATACAAAAACTTTGAATAAAACCATACACATAACAATATCAATCCCTTTTTACCATACCTCTCTTTGGAGCTGGAGGGCAATTATCTAACATTATCTTTGGTATTCTAAATCTCTTAGCCTTTGGTGTAGTAAAGCCATTTGAATTAATATTTTCTTCAGGAACTTCCTCGTCATTGTTCTTGACCCTTTGTTCCATGCTCTCAACACTTTGTTGAGTTTCAGAACATGACGAAGAAGTAACATACTGACAAGAACTTGTTGGTTTTATTTGTGGCAGATTTTCATTGTTTTGTGATTCCTTTGAAGGAGAAGTTGTTTGAATTGAAGCCATCATCTAAATTCTTAAAAAACTCCAAGCAATAATATAACCTGATTTTTGAAATAATATATAAAAAATTTGAAAAGAAATAATAAATATTTTTTAAGGAGATGTACCTTTTCCTTTTCAAGAGAACTATTCCACTTTATGAATTGAAAACTCACCGAAAACTTAACCTCTATGAACCTGTTCCATTTATATAAAGTCGAGTAATCCTAATTTTATTATTGTTTTTATATTATTACTTATTTATTTAATAAAATAAAATTGCAATTGGAAGTCACATACCTGGTAGCATTTGGGTTTCCACCCGTTCCTGTGGTGCGGTGTGTTCACGCGCCGCCTGCTTATACAACTCAACATCGACCATTTCTTCTTTTTTTCTGTGTTGCCATCTCTTTCTTTTCTCTACCCTACATTTCAGAAAAATATATTGTGAATTTCCTCTTTCTTTTTTTTTTTTATTTATTTAAGAAGACTTTATATAAGAATTTTAAAGGTTGAAATTTTTATTCAACTTTTTCTAATTAGTTGCTTATGAAGTACAAAGAATTCCATTTGTTCCTGAATAAATTCCTCCTTTTTAGTTAAGTTTAGTTTGATGCACCTTTTTTATTAGAATTTTTTTTATTATGTTATACATTTTTGTTTAAAAAATATTTTAAATAAAATATTAATTTATATCATTATTATAAAATACTATTTCAAATATTTTTATAAAAAAATTTAAAATTATATCTTTTTCGAAAAACTATAATTTCAACTATATTTTAATCTTCAATAATATATATTTTCGTTATATGATTTAAAAATTAATTTTTTAATACATAAAAAATGAATTAAAATTTTATTTTAATAACTCTTTGTTTAACTATTGAAAGTTTATACATAAATAACAGACAAACGGACAATAAATCATATCGCTATTATTTTTTAGATGGTAAAATTAATCTTTTTAAAAATAACATTCATAGTCTTAGGTGACACAATATAGTTATGCATGAACCTTTACACTCTCTGTAAAAGATCCATCACTTCTGGTGTTAGAAAATCAAAAGTATTAAAGGCAAATGGTATAAAAGTATGTTGATTGTCTGAATATATTTTCTCATGTTTAGCCATTTTATTTGAATCAGCTTTGAGAACTGCATGTCCCACAGTAAAATCTCTGGTGCTCTGTCTCACCAGTGATGAAACAAATAAACCTTTAATGTTGATAATAATAACTTTTGTCAAAATTTTCAATATGCATATTAACTTGTCTTTTCTTTTTAAAAGAAAAATCTTATTACTCAATTAACTTATTTTTTTGTCATGATAAATTATTAAATTATTTTTTTAACTTAAAATATCATTAAAGAAGGAAAAAGAAAACAAAGAAAGAAAGGAGACCAAAACCAAAACCTCTCAAATAGACATCAACTTAAGCTTGAGAAATCCAAGCTTGTTGTTCAATAAATCTTCTCAAGCTTCTCTAACTACATGATTATAACAAATAGCATATATATATTCTTTAAACCTAAGCTAGAAAGATTATCAGCACAAGTGTTACCTTCCCAAAAAATATGAGTTATCAAAAGACCAAGATTCCTCAAATTATGCAGGCAGTTCAACCAACGGCTTTTGATAAACCAATGGACAAGGTTTGTATTGTGTAGCGCTCTAACCACAGTTATTGAATCTAACTCAATCCAAATGTTGTCCAAATTCTTGTCAATTGCCACTTCGAATGCCATAATCACTCCCATGAGTTCAACTTGTAAAGCATTACCTTCCCCCAATGAAGAAAGAAAAGAAGCCTACTTGATCACCATTAGCACTCCTGAACATAGCACTGCGAGCACAAAGAGAGGGAGTTCCCTTAGCCACCTCATATGTATTTCCTTTGATCCAACCAAGAGGAGGAGGAGGGTGCGAAAGAACATCAATGCTTCGTTTTATCTTACCTTTTAACTCATTTTTAAATGTATATTTCAAAATATTTCATTTGAAAGAAGAAAAAAATCAATACACGGTTGAAATATTATTTTTATATTACTACTTATTTATTTAATAAAATAAAATTGCAATTGGAAGTCACATACCTGGTAACATTTGGGTTTCCACCCGTTTTTGTGGTGCGGTGTGTTCACGCGCGGCCTGCTTATACAACTCAGCATCGACCCTTTCTTCTTTTTTTGTATGTTGCCATCTCTTTCTTTTCTTTACCCTACATTTCAGGAAAATATATTGTGAATTTCTTCTTCTTTTTTTTTTTAATTATTTAAGAAGACTTTATATAAGAATTTTAAAGGTTGAAATTTTTATTCAATTTTTTCTAATTAGTTGCTTATGAAGTACAAAGAATTCCATTTATTCCTGAATAAATTCCTCCTTTTTAGTTAAGTTTTGTTTGATGCACCTTTTTTATTAGAATTTTTTTATATTATGTTATACATTTTTGT